TGGGAGGTCCAGGGAAGTAGAGTGGAGGTGGGAGGTTCAGGGAAGTAGAGTGGAGGTGGGAGGTCCAGGGAAGTAGAGTGGAGGTGGGAGGTCCATCACCAGGGAAGTAGAGTGGAGGTGGGAGGTCCATCACCAGGGAAGTAGAGTGGAGGTGGGAGATTCAGGGAAGTTGAGTGGAGGTGGGAGGTCCAGGGAAGTAGAGTGGAAATGGGAGGTCCAGGGAAGTAGAGTGGAGGTGGGAGGTCCATCACCAGGGAAGTAGAGTGGAGGTGGGAGGTTTATCACCAGGGAAGTAGAGTGGAGGTGGGAGGTCCAGGGAAGTAGAGTGGAGGTGGGAGGTCCAGGGAAGTAGAGTGGAGGTGGGAGGTCCAGGCTTCTTTGTCTTTGTGGAGCTTCATACACAAGTCTGACTTTTGCTTAAAGCCTTGTTGAGCAATGCTGCTTACATTATACCAATAACTGTGCAATGAATAAGAAATACAGAAATTCTATGAAGTGGATGTTCACTGGAGAAAATCTTATAGAATTACTGAATTTAAAACCTGAGACATTTTTCCTTTCTGTTCTAACAAAGAAAAATGCCACAAGACATAGAAGTCTTCCTCTTTCTCTCTCTCTGTCTCTCTCCACACACACATACCCCCAAAACAAAACAAAACGAAAACAAGTGTCAAAGAAAGCTACTGAATTTAAAATGGTTATAATACTTTGTGTTAAATACAAAAAAGTCATATATCTCAAAATAATAGGAATCCATAACTGTTACATGTTAGACAAACTACAGCTTAAGCTACTTTAGAAATTGTCAAGAATGATTGCTTCAAACTGAAAACTCCAATACTTTAAAGGAAAACATACACAATTTTGTTTTCTATTCCATTTGAGTCATTACTCATGACTAATATTTCTAGCAAAATTTCCTGCGTATAATATGCACATGTGTTGTCACAGAGGGACTCCTGTCAGACTGAGGAAAAAATAGCAGAGTAAGAACAGTTATAACTTTTGTTGTTTTTGTATTATTTTTGGATTAGATTCCAAACCATCTCTTTTAATATCATATATCACCCAGTTCTAAATTCCTAGCATGGACTTGCTCTCCCAAACCCCAAGGTTTTCCTTTGATTTTCAGTCTTCCCTAGTGTTTCCACTGGCAGGCCCTTCGAGCCTCCACCTGAATATTTGCAAGTTGCTGACTGCCTGATTCCCAAGTTCATTCCCCTCCTCACTCTGCTCACACCCTGAGAAGGAAAGCTCTGAGCTTGGGGCTATTTTTCTTTCCACATTGTGTAGCAAAATGAGACCATAGTCATACTCTGCTTGGTTTTTGGTTTTTCTTTCCCTTTGAAACACCAGCTGCTGTCCTAATTATCAACAGAAATAATGTAAAATCACCAGAGCCATTTCTTCATGGTACAGTTATAATTTTGTGTAAGCTAGAATTTTGTTACACCCCTTCTGCTCATTCAATTCATTGAGTCATTGTAAGATAAACCACGTGGCCCATGCTGAAGTGGCCCCTTAGCACAGATGTCCCCACTTTAGTCTTGGTACCCAGGACATTTCCTAGTGCATAGTCATGGCTTTTATTTAATTTACAGGCTGACCTATAAACTACTGCAGGATTTCAGAGCTTCTATCATTGCACTGCATTACCTCGTGTTCAGAAAATGGGGGACATGCCAGTCTCTGACAAGATTACATCATACCTATTCTTTTGCCAGTAACGTCTACTCCCAACATTTTTCTTGCAGGTAAAATGTAAGCAATAGAAAATACATATGCATGCAAACTAGGTTATATGTGTGTAAATGTTCATCAAGTTATTTTAAAAATAAGGGCATTAATAATAAAATCAACTCTCTGTAGGAATGAAATGAGTGAACAGAAGAGCTGTTGTCTTATCAGAATGTACCAGAATATACCAGCTTTTAGTTTTGACCTTTAGAAGCTTTTAAACCACCACCACCACCACCAAAGCTTGTAAAGTTTGAACTCTTTGGTCTCAAAAAGGAACTTTCTTTACATTCTGGAAGGCTTTATTTAAGCCTACCATTAATTTTAACTTAAATACTTAAAATGACCCATCTAACCCTGGAAAGATTTGTAAGAAGGTTTTTGTTTGTTAGTTTCAAATTTTGCACAGTATTTTTTTTTTTTTAAACTTTTCTTACCAGGCTTCCATATGATGCTTTCCAAAATGTTTCTCTATTTCTCACACACTACCAAATTTATTAACACAAAGATATTCATAGTATCCTCCTACCTCTTTGTGTCTGTGACTGCCATTTTTAATAGCGATCTTTCATTCTTCATGTTAATTTTTCTAACAAGTAAAACTGATTACTCTCAGATTATGTTTTGTATCCTTTTAAAATTGTACTTATTCTTGCTCTTACATATTTATTATGTCCTACTTGCTTTAGGTCCAATTTGTTTTTCTTTTAACTCAAGAGGGAAGCTCGGAGCCTTTTCTTGTGCCTGTTAATATTACTTTGATGAAAAAAGCAAAAACAAAAAAACTTATTTCAAGAACCCTATTTTAAAACAGGTCCATAATCTCCAAGGGTATTTCATCCACAAGGAAGTCATGTGGTCTACTTAAAAACGCAATATTTTGGAACAGAACATCAAATGTTTCTTTCACATGGATAATTCCCTGTACTATACTAGGGGCTAGATTGTATTACTGTTATCACCTACATCCTCATTTTTCCTCTTTAAACACTGGCAACTTGATAATAACACAGGCGAGTTTTCAAGTTAAAACCCTAAGATGTTCAAGAAATTATTTACCTATATTTTGGGAATTTCCTGTATGTACACAATGTAGTTTGGTCATAGCTATTTTTAAATGTTGGCATAAAGTTGGCAGCCAGTTCTTGTCTAGCCCAATTCTGAAATCTCTTTCAATTCCATACTTTTCTTTACCACTATTTTTGTTCTTATTGGGGCCTCCTCATTTTCCCGCCTCTGGATTTCACAATAGACTTCCTTACTTTTCCTCCCATCTCTAGTTTTTTCATCTATTAATCTACTTTTCACAAAGATCGTTCCTAAAGCACACACCTGCCCATGTTATTTCACCACACTAACATTCTCAAAAGCTCCGTGAGATTAAAAAATAGGAAATTGCTTGGTGCTGTGCACAGGGCTCTTCATGATACTGGATTATGTGATGTGCTCTCCACCCTCCCCCCACACTTCAAATGCCTTGCATTACCGCTAGTAAATGACTCTCCATTTAAATAGCAGTGCCCCTCTAACTGAATTCAAGCCTCTATCACTTCCTGTTGCCCCATCAACACAGTGTGCTAGCAGGGCACTTGTCAGGACAGTGGTGTGCTTACTATCATATCAGTTCTTACATATGGAAATAACTCAATTATTGAATAAGTCCAAACTCATTTGCATTTATGCATTTAATTTTATTTGGTATACATCTCTATGACTATGTTGTAGTTGAAATCGATTACAGGATGTTTTAAAGATTTATGATTAGTCACCTCCACAAAGACAATAATACTGCTGTGGAAGACCAAAGGGGAACAGATACATTTATTTACAATTCCCTATATTATAAACATTTAACCTAGACACTATTATCTAACTTGTAATGAGAGCTATACACAGACGAGGAAATGATGCCCTGTGTTTCTATCCATCTTCAGAAACAACATGTCATAGAACACCATAGATTTTGATTAGCATTCATTATGCTTTCTTTAGATAATTATCTAAACTTCTCCCAAAAGAACTAGGTATTTTTAAGTTATATAACTAAAACTATTTAAGCCAACATACTTGGCTGGTAATTTCATTTTCAGAATAATTTAAAGTGCTATAAGCAACCTGGCAGTCAACACTTTCTATAAGAACAAAACTATCTTTAAACATCAATTTACAAGATATACAACGGTTGTGTGGAACAGCTGAATTGTCAGCACAGTCACTGTCACGTGTATAACAGCAGG